AAATGAAATTCTATTTGTTAGAAATCCTTAATATGTTTGTTAAATTTGATCAGAATATCTGAGAATGGATTAATTCTACTGATTAGTTTGAAGAACTACAATAATAAGTTATTATTTCAACTTTAAAACAAAGTGAAAAGCTGTAAGAAAGAAAGAGTCAGTGTCTCAGATCAACAGCTCAGAGTGTTAGAAGGCTGCTCAGAAGCTCTGAGGTTGTGGGTTCGATCCTTATGAGGCTCAGTGACTTTTGAAGTCCAACAGCCAAAGTGAGAAGATAAAAGCGCCCGGAGAAAAGGTTCAGATGTGAAGGGGACTCGGTGGCGGCGTGGGGTTCGATGGCGGGAAACAGGAAGTGGCTGAATTTTCCTAAAAGGTGGGAAGATGACCGACGCACAAGGTCTTTATTGGTCCAGAACAGTGCTGCTGGGACTCGTGGTGTCAGCTGTCCTCCAGGTGCAGCAGCTGGAGCGAGTCTTCAGGGCGTGTCCCCAACAGCCTGGAAGAGACAGAAGAAGAAATGAGTCCACAGGTTGTTGTGACAAGTGAACAGTTTGAAAATCCATCAGTGAGTGAAGCTGCAGACAAGAAACAATAATCCATTCAACAAACAGGTGTTCCATGGAGATGATGATGTGAAGCAGCGGTGGAAGAAGGACTCTGAACATTTCCCTAAGCAAAAGCAGCAGCGGCACAGTGTAAAAGTACTGTGTTCGAGTCCCAGTAACAGTATAAAGCATCCTTTATATAGCGCTGGCTATCTGAAGCTAACATGATCCATCAACATGTGATAGTTACTGTGTGTTGTGTTATAATGTGCAGAGTGAGTAAAAAGTGCAGCATTTGGCCTGAAATGTAGTGGAGTCCAGGTCTAATGAGGTCCAGTAATCTAATGATATAGTATAATAGTACAACAGTCATATGGGACAGTTTTCTTTCTGCTTTGAGTAGCTACTTTTTTTTAATTGGCTGCTTCTACATTTTCCAGCTTACAGCCTACTTACATACCTTTATTTAACTTTTCACTGCAGTATTTTTACAGTGTGTACTTTTATTTCTGTCTTAAAGGATCTGAACAGGCCTGTGTTACTTTGCTCACCACTGGCTAAAAAAGCAAAAAGCTTTGGTCGCAAAGAGGTTGGAGAGTTTTTGACTGCATCAATAATAATTTAGCATTTCAGCAATTTGTCTGTCCTCCCCAACATCAGCTGCTCTCACTGTCTTTGATCCCAGGCAGGTGATTTCATCCAGGAATGGTCAAATCAGCTTCCATCAGCAGAGTTCTCCTGAGTAACTGTCGGACACATTGTACCTGCGTGAGCTCACTGTGAGCTGAGATCAAGGACTGATCCAGCCAAACGTCTGGTTCCAACTTTGTGCAGCCTCAGAAAAGCAACTGCGTTTGCTTCTGTGTTTATCTTTAGTTAGATTATAGTTTTAGTTCAGTCCCTAGTTTAGATTGTGTCCCTGATTCACATGTTAAGGACTTTGTTTCTGTGCAGGTGTCAGAACATCAAAATATCTGAACAGTGAAACAATCATGATCAAACATTAGACGATGAAACAACATATTTTTATATGTGACTTGCAAGGCCGTTGTGCTGAAAGCATTTTCATTTGTTATTTAACATTTCTTGTTGCTATTTTTCAGAACATTGTTAACAAATGCTTTGAAAAAGTGATGATGACTGCAGCCAGCAGACGGCGCTCTGCCTCTGCAGCTTTGTGTTTGCAGAGACAGAACCCAGAGGGAGAGGAGGGCAGCACAGACTGCAGATAGTATCTACATTCAGTTTAAACAAGGATGAATTCATGGGAGATTTTAGATTAAAGATGAGCAGTGTGGGCCCGCACAGAATTCTGGGTCATTTTCAACTCCACACAAAAGAGCAGCTAGCTGGTGAAATGACAGCAACCGGGAAATTAACTCGATATGAACGAACACAGAAGTGGGTTTCAGAAGCGAAAACTGAAAGAAGCAGCCGAGAAAGAACAGATTCATATAACAAAATATTAATTTTCCTTAAAAAGACAGACGGGATGGCAGCAACACGAGCTGTTAGCGACAAGAGCCGAAGGGGGCAGCTGCTGCCATAGCAACAGCATCGCACCATCCACCTCAGTGATGATGAGGAGGAGTAACGTTACTTTCTATCTTCTACAGCCTGAAACAGATGTTTCTGACCCCTAACCCTTCCAAACTAGAACTTCTCAAATGCGAAGAGCTCACTGGGACAGACACGTTACTTTAAAAGTCAAACTTGTCCAGGTCCAAGTTAGTTTAATGAATGATGTCATTAGAAGTTGTTATATACAGCTGGGAAATACTGAAAATCTGTGATGTAATAATAATAATTCCAGGTCATATTGTCATCATTGTCATTATCATAAAATTCGGCTTAATAACTGTCAGGATTTGTCTCGTTGACCATCATTAGCTTCAGCTTCAGCTTCATCTCCTCATAGCTTAACTAATTACATGTTGTTTATACTATTTCTTAGTCACCACTGGTTCAGTCAGCCAGCCCGTCCAGGGAGAAGTGCTTCCTGAAATACGCCTTGTGATTGGACGGTACTTCAGCAGACAGCCGAGCATCGGCCAAGAGCAGAATGGCCCTGCCTCCCGGCATTTTTTCAGATCCTCAGTTAATTTTCAGAGTTTCAAATCTTTTTTCCAACATAAGAGCACATAAGAGTTTTCTGACCACCATTTACAAGGTTTCAAAGCTGTAAAACAAACTAATACACTGTGAGATTCACCCTTTCAAAGGAAAGTTTCAACACTTTGAAACCTTATTGCCAACATATGTGTGTGATACTGATTGATTTTAGCTAAATAGGCAATGAAATAATCATAGAAATATTCACATGGAATAAAAGATAAACATATCAGTCATGTGAAAGAGGTTATACGCAGAATATTAAAGCAAGATGGAAGAAGAGGGTGACTTCTTCTTTATTTTAAAAAATGTTTACGTTTGTGTTGGAGATTTTCACCTTTACGGCAAATACATAGCGGTTCCAAATATCGGCCAACTTGACTACTAATAATCAGTATCAGCCTTGCAAAAATCCTATCAGTCTCCCTGGTCCTGACCTGAGAAAGACAACAAACACTCACAGTAACACTCTGCTTTTATTGGAACAAAATAATAACAAAATAATAAAAAACAGGTGTTTGCTCAGGTGAATCAGCGCTGCCTAGCAACCGCTTCTGATTGGTGGAAACATCTCAAACGATAATTAAACAGGAAGCAGCAGAAGTTTGTTTTTATTGATCAATATTCCAGATACAAACAACCTGGCTTTGAGTTTCACTTTCTACAGAAAGGACCAACAGCCGGAACAAAGACAAACTAGGAATAAAGAAATGTGTGTTGTGTGATTCTGCTGCTAAACTAAAGACTTCACTGCTTTTTCATTTTCATGACATTAAAGGCTTTTTATAAAAGAAAGAACTCAGGTTTCACTTTAAAAAACTTAAATTTGTGAATATAACATAGAATAACGGTCAGTAAAATAAAGAGTGCAGTGATTTTAGTAACAATTCACACAAAAGCAAATCAAGGGAAAGGTACAAAAGGCACAATATGAGGTAAAAGGCGGATCTGATACCTGCTGAGATTAGCTGGGAGGCTTCAGAACAGAAAACCTCAATGTCCCAGCAGACCAAACGTTCGTTCGCTCAATTAACTTAAATTGTCCGATTTCAAACAGATTTCCTCCTTAGAGGACAAACACAAAGGTACCAGGATGAAGCGTGGCCGACGCTGCAGGTCAGTAATATCCACAGTTAACAGGAGGTTCCAACATATAATCCACCAATAGTGTCATGTTCCTGTGTCCTCTGGCCCCCCTGTGTTACAGAGGCCCCTAAAGTCTCACCTGTTCTGCTTTGCATATCACAGGGGTCCCCCAAACTTCACTTCCCCCTCCCCTTTTAAAACATGTCAATAATGCAAACAATAGTGAAAGAGATAATATAATATAATGATAAATGACAGTCCAAACTACAATCCATGGTTCTGTCTCAGGCCTCTGATTTAACAAACAGTTTTTTAACATGTGAAGGAACCAGGAGTTTTTAAAAGATCACTTACAGGCAGAAATAACTTCATACAGTGTTTTCTAATCTGGTAATGGATTAAATGTCTCTTGGAAAAAAAAAAAAACAGGGTCCCTGATTAGAAATTTCTGAGAACAGTTTAAAGATTTAAAGTCCAGACGAAAGACCGAGCAGCTTTTAGAGATGAGAAACATAAAGATCACCACAGTCAGTAGGATTCATCTTCTGGGAACCATGAAGGTCTGAACCACATTTCATGACCTGGACCAAAGTGGTGGAGGGACCGGAGCCGACATCACCGTCCCTGGAGCCAAAGGAAAGACTGAGACAGTTCAAGGACCTCCAGGCCCTCAGCTCAGGATCATAGAGGACTTCAGTTCAGTCCTCATGAGGCACCATGAACTTTTTCAGTCCAGAGACAGAAGCAGGGGGTTATGGGACGAAGAACCACCAGCTGATGAACGGTACATATTTAACAAATAATCCAACTATCATGTTAAAACTGTAAACTGATGAACATGTGAGCGATGTTATCAGGTAGCTGGTTACGATAAACAACACCTGAAAGTCTTCTTCATGGATTACATTTATACAGCCATTTATCTCAGATACTCCTCTCAGCCTCCACCAATGTGCAGCACCCACCTGGGGCCTCCACGCTGACGAGCGGGTCACCAGAGTTCAAACCGCTTGTCTTTCTTAAAGGGTGTTCGGTCCACAATGTTGTTGCTGAAGAGTCTAGAAAAACACCAGAGCAGAGAGCAAACGTTACTCATTCAGCCACAATAACATGAGGAACAGGAGGAATTGAACTCGTCTGAGATCATGAAGGATTTCTCTGTGAGCACAAATGTCTTCATAAATGAACGGAGCACTAATTAATGTTTGCTCACCGCACAGTGCTGATGGAGGGGTTGATGGAGACCAGGTGGAGTAACTTTCCAGCTGAAGCATCAGAGATCTTATTGTGACTCAGACTGTAACATGCACACAAACACAAACAGAGACACGGCGCTACATTTATTACTGCCGAGGACAGAGCCCACACAGCGCTGTACGCATTTTAGTCACATGATCACATGTGTGTGTACAGGGGGACACTCACTCCAGGACCTGGACTTTGTGCAGATGTGTGATGAGTGTGAGCAGCAGCTGGTCGGTGAGCTCACAGTGACTGAGGTCCAGCTCGGTCAGCCCTTCAGAGAAGTCCAGCATCAGGGCCAAAGCTCCACAGGCCCTCTGATCCAGTGAGGTGTGACTGAGGTCCAGCTCTCCGTCCAGGGCTCTACACAGGGACACCGCCCGTCTCACTGTGTCCCCCTCACTGTTCACAGGAACCAGGGACACCAGCTGGAGGAGGACAGCTTTACTGGCTCTAAACAGGCCAATCAGAGCAAAGAACAGACTGTTACGATGCATCAACATGAGAACAAGCTCCTTCTCTGGTTTAGGTCACGCTGTGGTCTTTCCCACCTGAGGCGGACTCTGCGGAGGACAGGAAACAGCAGGTCCAGTCCGCTGTCCTCCACCTCGCAGTCCTGCAGGTTGAGCTGTATGTCCCGGACGCTGCGTCTCAGGATGGCGGAGACGGCCCCGCAGTCCTCACCGGTCAGACTGAGAGTCTCGCTCTGATCCTCCTCTGGCAGCTCCACACAGGAGGAGCAGGACAGATCCAGCCTGTCCTGCACAGTCCTGAGCAGGCCGACTGCTGCCCCCTGCTGGGCGTCGGAGGCAGCACAGCAGTGCACCAGCCTCAGCAGCAGGTTCCTGTCCACACTGGAGGGAACATGGATTCAAAAATACATCAATATAAACATCTGAACAAATAATCTGACCATAAACACCACAAATGATGTTAAAGGATTATTAAAGATAAGCTGAAGATTTGGAACCAGTTTGTAAAGAACCAGAATGATCTTTTTACGTCATATATATATATATATTTTCCAAGGTTCTCCAGGTAAAGGTGCATTATCTCCTGTGTGTTGGAGAGAACTGATCCAGCCCACAGCTCTGAGAAACGAATGTCTGACCTGAGCTGAGAAACTTTGTCCAGCGTAAAGAGGATGGACTCTGTGTCCCCTGGTGGTATGGAGGTCCACTGGAGGTTCAGTTTAACTCTGTCACTGTGTTTGAGGGTGAAGAGCAGAGCAGCACAGTCCACAGAGTCCATCTCTCTGCAGGTCAGGTTGATCACATGATCCAGTGACCTCAGTAAACTGGGTATAATGGGACTGGCACGAGCTTTATAGATCTCTCTGATGGCAGTCAACACAAAGCCGGGACTGGGCCTGAAAGCAGAAAGTGTGTTCACCGGGTCACTTTGTTCAGTCAAAGAATGAACAAACTGCTGTAAAATCAGCTGGACGTCTGTTTCTGGTAAAAACAAACAAAGTGATCACCTTTTAAATACAATCCTGTCCAGAAAGGGAAGCAGACGTGTGACGCTCTCCTGTAAGAAGAGGTTCCTCCTCAGGTTCACAGCGATGGTCTGAGCTGACGACTGCTGCAGCAGATAGTGAAGAAGCTCCCAGTTCAGACAGCAGGAGCTCAGGTCTCCACCAACCTTACTCAAGAAGGACCGGGTCAAGACCTCGTCCTGGACTTCATGGAGGAGGGAGAGGAGCTGCTGGAAAATCTCCTGACTCAGTCTGCAGATAAAAAGTGAAGTATTAATACATTTAGCATGTTCATTGATTAGTACGTGTTGATGAGGCTCAGGAAAGACGTTTACTTGATGGTTAGAGGGCCGTCGTGCAGCAGCAGAGGAATGAGACCCGACAGGGACGCAGAACTCAGTCAGGTCCAACCGTCTGACTGCCCAGGATCTCAGCAGGGACGCCAAACTACTGACGACCTTCAACAGCACTCTGTCTGATGGTCGGGCTTTCTGAGGGGCCAGAGAAAGCTCTTCAACAGCCAACGGACAGGCCGCTCTCCCTCTTCTCACCCATCGACACAGTAGCAAGGCCATGTCGCTGGAAAGCCTGGAAACCAAAGAGAGAGAGCAGCTGTGACGTAAAAGACGTTCGACACTAACTGGACATCCAAACTGGAGGAGATGGTGTTAAAGAGCAAAGGTAATGATATAAATGTGAACCTCAGACTGTGGAGTTGTGTTGTACAGCTGAAGAGCAGGGAGGCTCCTCTGACAGACATCTTTCTCGGTGTCAGGACCAGATCCACATCAGAGCCACACAGTCTGAGAACCCTCCCCACAGACCTGCAGGTTTTCCTGTGTAACTCTCCTGTTAACAGCAGGGTGAAGCCCAGGAGCTGCAGCACAGAGGCCAACTGCTCTGCCTCTCTGGATCTTACAGAGATGACTGCACACAGACTCTGGAAGAACTCTGGATCACAGCTAAAACACAAAGTGATGCATGAAGAGTGAAAACAGCAAAGGTAAAGTACAGCACATACTGAGTTACAAACAGGTCCTGACATTAACAACCGCCAAATGCGGGTGGATTTCGGCTGTGGCGGGTAACACAGTCACTCCCACTAGCCACTTCGGCCTGTTGAACAATTGTAATCTAGTCAAAAGGCATAAATAACAAACGAATTGCAATGTGACACTATAACACTACAACTCCTATGAGTACTACCCGCACATATTGGTCCATTAGTTAAACATTTGTCTTGTCATTTTTGCTCTTTGTTTCTAATGCAGATAATTTTTCTACTCTGTATTACAGTATTTAGCCTGCTGCTTTTATAAATAAATAGGATTTAAACAATGTTTCTGGTGAATATAGTTTTCAGTTTAGTTTTTATCTTTTCAGTTTATATTTTACACCCACGCAGCACTTTTATTATATACAAGAAAAAGCTGCTCTTATTGTGTTTATCTTAATAGACTATATGTTTTCTAAAAGGATTTTTACACACAACCTTATCAGAGCTAATGATAATATTAGTACATTATAGCACGCCAATTTAAGCACTTTAATCATGAAAAATGTAATTTCCCAACAACACAAATGTGGCTAGTGAAAATGCTGCATGGCTAGTAACTTTGGAACCACCAGCCGCATTGGCTGTTGAGCAAAGAAAGTCAAGCCCTGGTTACAAACCATCTAATATACAAAGTCTTTCAATCAAAGGATGAAATTCAGAGAAAACACATACAGTAGGATGGAATACTCTAATTGTATATGTTTGTTTAGCTGTGATAATATGTACTGCTAAATAATTACTAAACAGAAATGGCATTCAACCTTATCTACATTATGTTTATTTGTATATGACCGTAGATTAGGAAAAAATTGACATATTTCTACAACTTACCTGAGCTGTGAGATATAAGGCAGACACTGTAGGAAACTCCTCACTTCACTCTCTTCATCTGAGCAGCCTGTCAGCTTCACTGGTTTCTTCTCTGGTTGGAGTTTCAGCACTTCCAGGAGGATGGAGGTCTTTCTTTCTGAGAGGTTTATGGACCAGACTGCAAGAGCTGACTGGAAAACTGACTGTAATGATGGAAGGACTCTCAAGCCTGTTTTAGTCTCATAGTCCTTCAGGTGGGAGCACAGATCCAGCAGAAAATCACACTGATATTTGTAATCATCATCATCATCATCATCTTCATCCTTAAGAGGGAATGTTTGATATCTGCACACTGATGATAACAGCTCCAGTATCTTCTCTCCTGTCTGTTGTTCTCTCTCTGCTGCTGCACAGAACAGATTCCCAAAGAACTTGACTTCACCTGAGCCTCTAGACCAGAAAGAGACACTGGAACGAGAATTGAACATTTTGTTATGATCTCTGTATTAAAGATTGTATGTTATACTGGAATATCACTCCTGAACCAACAGGGTGGCTGAAAGGAAAACTTTAGCCAAACCATTTATTAATCAATCAGCTCCAAAGCTGAAATACTGGACCACAAGTTTTATCATTCATCATTCTGTAAAACTCTATGAAACTTCATACAGTACTAGTGGAACATAATTAGGATTTCTAGTGGTTTACTGACCACATCCTGATAACACGGTTTATTTTCAATATTGATAATAAACCACTTAATCAAAATCCTCTCATTCACTCCTCTTAATCATTCATCGTTCAAACATCCTGCTCAGTTACAGCTCTTTTCTTGGCTATATTAGAGTCAGGGGAGCCAATAAATGAGCTCCAATCCAGCATCCATGACCAATCACATGTTTGGATTAAAAATAAAAATGATTAAGAGCTCAAAATGTGAACCACTTTAAGACATATGGTTCATTAAAATCAGTGTGTAGGGGTTAGGGTTAGTCCTCATAAAGTCTATTAAGTCTCATGCTGGCTGAACATCTCTGGCTGAGGCTTCACATCTGCTGCAGCGAGCCATCGAGTTGCTCTGTGATACTTGTTAATATTTTTATAGAAACCGGACAAAACAGGAGATTACTTGGAGAAAGTAAGCGAGGAAGGTGAACTACCTGGTAAGATCTGAAAATGTGTTTCTGTTACTTGATTCCAGCTATTGTTCTACTTTGCTACAATACCAGTTAGCATAGCCCTGATCGATCCAAACGCCATTTAGAGAACAAGCATTTTAAAAGTTGTTTGCTTATCATCTTGCTGACGGACCTGACTAAGCATGAAGTCATATGTTTAGCAAATCAGCATCATGATGAAATTATGTCAGCATCATTTTGATCCGTTTATTACAATTTAACCACAGTAAAATGTTTACTTTGGGTTCATGCTGCTGTAGTGAGCCAGATTTAAGGTGAATCCTTGCAGGTTGTGTTTACTCGCATTAAAAGAACTGCGTTCAATACCAACAAGTTTATAAGCTACATACAAATTAAACACCCAACACAATCCAGTGAGTTCACTCATGTAACTCAGGGAAAGGCTGCACTGAAGTCATGTGAAGTACAATTCATTTACCTGAGCTGTGAGATATAAGGCAGACACTGTAGGAAACTCCTCACTTCACTCTCTTCATCTGAGCAGCCTGTCAGCTCCACCGGTTTCTTTTCTGGTTGGAGTTTCAGCACTTCCAGGAGGATGGAGGTCTTTCTCTCTGAGAGGTTTATGGACCAGACTGCAGGAGCTGACTGGAAAACTGACTGTAATGATGGAAGGACTCTCAAACCTGTTTTAGTCTCATAGTCCTTCAGGTGGGAGCACAGATCCAGCAGGAAACCACTCTGATATTTGTAATCATCATCATCATCTTCATCCATGTTTCTCTCTTTAAGAGGGAATGTTTGATATCTGCACACTGATGATAACAGCTCCAGTATCTTCTCTCCTGTCTGTTGTTCTCTCTCTGCTGCTGCACAGAACAGATTCCCAAAGAACTTGACTTCTCGTGAGCCTATAAACCAACAAGAGACACTGGAACGAGAATTGAACATTTTGTTATGATCTCTGTATTAAAGATTGTATGTTATACTGGAATATCACTCCTGAACCAACAGGGTGGCTGAAAGGAAAACTTTAGCCAAACCATTTATTAATCAATCAGCTCCAAAGCTGAAATACTGGACCACAAGTTTTATCATTCATCATTCTGTAAAACTCTATGAAACTTCATACAGTACTAGTGGAACATAATTAGGATTTCTAGTGGTTTACTGACCACATCCTGATAACACGGTTTATTTTCAATATTGATAATAAACCACTTAATAAAAATCCCCTCATTCACTCCTCTTAATCATTCTTTGTTCAAACATCCTGCTCAGTTACAGCTCTTTTCTTGGCTATATTAGAGTCAGGGGAGCCAATAAATGAGCTCCAATCCAGCATCCATGACCAATCACATGTGTGGATTAAAAATAAAAATGATTAAGAGCTCAAAATGTGAACCACTTTAAGACATATGGTTCATTAAAATCAGTGTGTAGGGGTTAGGGTTAGTCCTCATAAAGTCTATTAAGTCTCATGCTGGCTGAACATCTCTGGCTGAGGCTTCACATCTGCTGCAGCGAGCCATCGAGTTGCTCTGTGATACTTGTTAATATTTTTATAGAAACCGGACAAAACAGGAGATTACTTGGAGAAAGTAAGCGAGGAAGGTGAACTACCTGGTAAGTTCTGAAAATGTGTTTCTGTTACTTGATTCCAGCTGTTGTTCTACTTTGCTACAATACCAGTTAGCATAGCCCTGATCGATCCAAACGCCATTTAGAGAACAAGCATTTTAAAAGTTGTTTGCTTATCATCTTGCTGACGGACCTGACTAAGCATGAAGTCATATGTTTAGCAAATCAGCATCATGATGAAATTATGTCAGCACCATTTTGATCCGTTTATTACAATTTAACCACAGTAAAATGTTTACTTTGGGTTCATGCTGCTGTAGTGAGCCAGATTTAAGGTGAATCCTTGCAGGTTGTGTTTACTCGCATTACAAGAACTGCGTTCAATACCAACAAGTTTATAAGCTACATACAAATTAAACACCCAACACAATCCAGTGAGTTCACTCGTGTAACTCAGGGAAAGGCTGCACTGAAGTCATGTGAAGTACAATTCATTTACCTGAGCTGTGAGATATAAGGCAGACACTGTAGGAAACTCCTCACTTCACTCTCTTCATCTGACCAGCCTGTCAGCTCCACTGGTTTCTTCTCTGGTTGGAGTTTCAGCACTTCCAGGAGGATGGAGGTCTTTCTCTCTGAGAGGTTTATGGACCAGACTGCAGGAGCTGACTGGAAAACTGACTGTAATGATGGAAGGACCCTCAAGCCTGTTTTAGTCTCATAGTCCTTCAGGTGGGAGCACAGATCCAGCAGGAAACCACAACGATATTCATCATCATAACTATCCAAGTATGGTGATAACAGCTCCAGTATCTTCTCTCCTGTCTGCTGTTCTCTCTCTGCTGCTGCACAGAACAGATTCCCAAAGAACTTGACTTCACCGGAGCCTCTAAACCAGAAAAAGAAACTGGAACGAGAATTGAATATTTTGTTATGATATGATGTTAACAGCAGAAAAAGAGCCATGCATTACTGATATGGAGTTTATCTGCTAAAACCCTACAAATACCTGCTGATGAGCAGAATACAGTAAAATCAATCAACCTAAAACTCAAGTAACAATGATTCTAACAGGGATATATGTGGATTTTAGAAGAGTTTAACTAAATTAAAATCTTGACAATATGTTGAATGAAGCAGGAAAGTCAGGCTACAAAGGTGTATCCTCTCCTCTGTATTAAATATTGTATGTTATACTGGAATACCAGTCCTGAACCAACAGGGTGGCTGAAAGGAAAACTTTACCCAAAACATTTATTAATCAATCAGCTCCAAAGCTGAAATACTGGACCACAAGTTTTAACATCCATCATTCTGTAAAACTCTATGAAACCGTCTGTCTCTGTTATAAGCATGAATGGAAACCTCTTCTAGAAGTCTGATGCTGGCTGAACATCTCTGGCTGTGCTCGTACTGGCTGAGGCTGCCTGTGTTTCACCTGGGTCTGTGTGACCTGCTAAAGACGTCTGGACTGGGTCTGTGCTGGATCTGGATCAACTGTGCTCGTACGGGCTTATGATCCAGAATCTACTCTACTGCCAAACTTCAGTTATAGCCCCTGCAAATAATAGATATCAATACTTGCTTAAGATATTCATTTTATCAGCTGCTTCAGGCCCATTCAAACTGGCTCCCCAGGTTTCCTTTAGCATTTTCAAAGCTAAAATATTATTTATACTAAGGCTAGGCGATATCGACAAAATTGTTATCGCAATAAAAAAATCATATCATTCGATATCAATAATTATCAGGACAAATGTCAAATTAGGTTCCTATCAAGTTTAAAGGCTGACTTTTGCTCCTTAGTGAAAGCTGAAGGGGTGGAGATGGTGCAGTGGATAGAACACATGCCTTTGGTGTGAGAAACCCAGGGTCACTTCCCTCTGTGACATCCAACAAAGTGTCCCTGAGCGAGACACTTGTTGCTCCAGAGGCGTGCAACCCCCGACATACAGTCCCCTCCAAAAGTATTGGAACGGTAAAGCAAATTCCTGTTTTTCCGAACTCTTGTCTCATACTCATCTTTTGATCTTAAACACAAATGTCTTCAGTGAACAACAAAAACAAAGGAATTTGCCTTACCGCTCCAATACTTTTGGAGGGGACTGTATATAGCAATTCTAAGTTGCTTTTGATAAAAGCGTCAGCTAAATGAGTAAATGTAATGTAACTGTAACCAGATAGTTAATTGTGGTTTAAACTATTTTATGGTCAGAACATGAAAATCACTTGCCAAACAGTGGATCACTTCACAAATCTGAGGTAGAACATTCAAAACAATAATGTTAAACTCTTTTTGTCAACAAATATGCAAGAGTAAAATTAAGTTACATCTTTTTTTTCAGTCCCTTTTTCCTTAACAAAATAAATAGCTTAAAAGAAAAAGTGCTAATTCGTTCATGATTCAAATAAACATTTATCTTGTTATTGAGGAAAATTATACTGTGATAATCATCTTGTCACAAGATCTCTGACGTAATTGCTGACGTAATCTGCACTCTGCGCATGCGTTGGCGTCTGTAGCCACCTGTCGGAAGCTCCGTCTTGAACCGGAGTCTTATCCAGTTTTAATCCACTTTTTTCGTTACATTTTTTATATCCTTTTATTTAACTTAACTTTATTTAAGTTTTACGTGGGTTAAGGATTTTAGTCATCCGACATGGATTTTAAGCTAGATGACCGTAAAAACGCGATCAACGCTACTGATCGCAACAAAGCTCCGGTGACTATGCAAGCCGAGATAACTCTGCCCCATGAGGACTGCTCACTCCTTAAGAAAGCGAACAAGAAGATTGCTGACCTTATGGAAGACATCCGACGACTTTCAGAGGAACTCAAAGAGAAAGATTCCCTGCTGACTGGCTTTATGGATGTGGCTTCAGTACAAGCCAAACAGATTGTTTCTCTTAGCGCAACCGCTAACATCCAGGACACCGTGTTTTGGGACCCCTCTAGTCTTCCCAGGCTTTCATCCTGCTCGACTCCGAAGCATCAGTCAACCTGGGCTGAAGTGGTGGTCCGTGGCTGCAAGAGAGGCTCGGACGGGGCTGCCTCTCCTCCGGACATCGGCCTCTCCAACCGCTATGCAGCCCAGTCTAACGACACTCCGGTCCATCCAGCTGATGCACCTGTGGCTTCGAGTCTCCCTGATACGGATCTCTTTCGGCGCACAGTGCCTGCCGACACTGTTGCATCTCCTTCACCGGCTACATCTCCTGCACTGGGCCGCCGGTCTGCCGCTGGGCCTGATCGGCGGCCGTCATCCCGGTCAAAAACCTCCGCTTCCCGACGTAGGATCCTGAAGGAGGCTGTGCTCAGACGCTCCGGAGGCCGTCTCTACCCTGCACCGTCGGGTAGCCCTTCTCTCAGGTCTGTTACTGCTACTCCAACACAACACTCGGCAGCTCACACACTCCATCCTCAGTCCGCACGCAGTGTTGAAGCAGATTCTGCTCAGTCCTGCTCTGGATCCCAACAACCGGCATCTCCTCGTCCTCTTTTCTCCCCAACCACATAATAATTGGTGACTCCATAACCAGAAACCTCCGTTTCTTTAACGCTACCACTCGCTGCTTCCCGGTGCCACCACGGCTGACATTTTAAAAAACTCCAGGACCTGATGCCGTCGCTCCCGTCCTCCATCACAAGAGTGATAGTCCATGTCGGAACAAATGACACAGCTCTTCGGCAGTCTGAGCTGACAAAATTAGATTTTAACCGTCTTTTTAACTTTTTAAAGCAGTGCGGAAAGTCCGTTTTTATCTCTGGTCCCATTCCCACAGTCGGTCGCGGTGCTGGCCGCTTCAGTAGACTCTTTGGCCTCCACGACTGGCTCCAGTCCGCCTGCAGGGCTCACCGTGTGTTTTATGTGGATAATTTTAATATTTTCTGGCAAAGAATGTCTCTTTTTAAGACAGACGGACTTCACCCAAACAAACGGGGCTCAGAAATGTTAGCTGCGCACATACAGCATGTGGTGCGGTCCACACATGACTTACGTGAATGACATCATTCATGCAGCACACCTGGACACACCACCAGTCACTGAACAGAACTCTGCCTCACTGCCACAAACAACTGTCTCCACCTGCTGGCATGTAAAGCCGTCTGCTCCCAGCACTGTTCCAAAGACTTCTATTCCTGTCATCATCACGCATAGACCAGTAAACCGAAATGTGCACATCCCACACAGAAA